CATCTGCATCTGCATCTGCATCTGCATCTCCTCCTCCTCCTCTGGCTTTTCCCTCTGCCCCCCTTTCAGGCCAGAAAGAGAAATGAAGTTTCTGCAGAGGCAGGAAAGGCGGCGCCCAAAATTCCCCCTCTAGAAAGAGGCTGCGTCTACACTGCAGCCTGGATCCGCTTCGAGGCCGCTTTAACTGCCCTGGCTCCAGGGGAGGGGATCCTGGGCTTTGGCCTTGGGTCTCTCTGAGAGTCTCACCAGTCAGAAAGATTGGGGAGGGGGGGCGGAGGAAAGAGGGGGAAGGACAGCAAACTACAGATCCCAGGATCCCATAGGGTGGAACCAGGACAGTGTTAAGCAGGATGCATGGCTCCAGGCAGTCTGAAATCTGGGATTCTCTGTCAGGGAGCAATGGTGCCTCAGCAAACTACAGATCCCAGGATTCCATAGGATGGGGCTATGAAGTTAAAGTGGTATGAAACAATATATATATATATATATATTCCAAAAAGTAAACCTTGCTTTTGCCATTTTACTTTTTGGAATGAAATAAATAAATAAATAATAAAAGCAAGGCTTACTTTTTGGAATATATATATGGAATATATATATTTAGAATATATATATATATATATATATATATATATATATATTCCAAAAAGTAAACCTTGCTTTTGCCATTTTACTTTTTGGAATGAAATAAATAAATAAATAATAAAAGCAAGGCTTACTTTTTGGAATATATATATGGAATATATATATTTAGAATATATATATATATATATATATATATATATATATATATATTGTTTCATACCACTTATATATTATACCACTTATATATTTCATACCACTTATATATTCTCATTCCAAAAAGTAAACCTTGCTTTTGCCATTTTACTTTTTGGAATGAAATAATAATTATATATATATATATATATATATATATATATATATATATATATATATTCATTCCAAAAAGTAAACCTTGCTTTTGCCATTTTATATAAGGGATGCTATTTTACTATGCCATTGTATTGAATGGGACTTGAGCATCCATGGACTTTTGTTATCCATGGGGATCCTGCAACAAAACCCCAGCGGATACCAAGTTCCCATTTGATTGTAAGTAAAGCTTCGTGTTATAGAAAATCTCTATGGAATCCTGGGATCTCAAATCCATCCTGGCAAAATCTCCAAGTGGCCTAAAAACCACACAGCAATACCAAAATCCATTTCATCTGCATCAAATGATAGTCCTATTTTTTGGAGGTCAAGGCTCCTGTGGCATCGTGGTTTGTGGGTCGGACTATGACCCTGGAGGCCAGGGTTCGAATCCCCGCTCAGCCCTGAGAACCACTTGGGCATGTCACACTCTCTCAGCCTCAGGGGAAGGCCAAGGCAAAACCACCTCTGAACAAACCTTGCCAGGAAAACCCAACGATAGGGTTGCCATAATGTAGGTTGCCCTTGTGCTTCTCATGCCGCTTCATTTTAATTAGGATTAATTTAGTTAAGTTTATTCATTGAATGGATTTTATGATGTATGAAATTAGGGGTAAGGGGATCAGGTTATTTTATTAGGTGGTTTTATAGCTGTATTGTCGTATTTCATGATTGTTACCCGCCTCGATCTTTAGGAGAGAGGCAGGTAATAAATAAAAAAAATATATTATTATTATTATTAATATTATTATTATTAGTCAGAAACAACTTGAAGACACACAAGTACATCCAAAGGACTGACAATATAATGCGCCAAGCAACAGCTCAAGTCAAAACCAAAACATGATATCTGTAAGAAGAGGTCAATCTTGTTGATACGGTCGTCCTATGACTTGAACATCTGCTTCGCTTTTCTTGATCCTTGCCAGCTTTCTCTTATCTGCAACCGAAAACCTTTCCGCTCCTTTGGCCTGAAAAGGCCTTCCAAGAGCAGCTGCCGACTAATCCACCCCAAGCAATGGGAAACCAATGGAAAGCCTATTTCATTTTTATTTGGATTTTTCTTCCTTGCAAACCCCTGGCCTCTGGGATTTTCAAAGATAATGCTTAGAAGATCAGATTGTCCTTCCGCAGGTGTTCTTGGGACGAAGTTTCTAAGACTTTTATTTAGTTTCAGAATCTAGGGTGGCCAGGTTTGGGCAAATTAATTGTCGGAGATGTTTTGGCAGAGCTGATCTTGCAGTAACCGATCTTGCTGTTACGCAGCATGCGTTATTTTTTTCTTAATATTATTATTATTATTTCAAGAACATATGAGATGACAGCCCTGCTAGATCCAGTTAATCGTCCCTCTAATCCAAGCACCCTGGTTTCCACCTGAGCTGTGCAGGTGCTTTTGCAAAGGCTGAAAAGTTCAACACAATATCAAAAAGATCTTTACCCATACTGTTGTTTGGGTGTCTTCGAGTCGTTTCTGACTTTATGGCAACCCAATTGCAAAGTTTCCTTGGCGGAACTTGTTCAGAGAGGGTTTGCCTTCCCATGGAGGCTGAGAGAGTGTGACTTGCCCAGGGTCACCCACTTGGCCAAGCGGGGACTTGGAACCTGAGTATCCAACACTCAAACCACTGCACCATGCTGGTTCCTTCCCCACTTTTGTTCCCCAGCAAAGAGGGTTTCAGGGTGTGCTGCTCTTGCCCAAAGTTTAAAAATGTTATTTTTAAAGGCTTTTGTTGTTGTTGTTGTGTGCCTTCAAGTCATTTCCAACTTATTGTGAC